CAGAATGAACAGAACATTTGAATCCCAAGCTCCAAGCAAACCACTCAAAAAATCAATTCATCAATTATCTCGAACTTAATTCATATCACCTATAAACAGGGAGCAAATGCAGAAACCTAACCAAACAATGTAAACCATATTCACGCACAATGAAAAAGAAAATGTAAATTAAGCTCAGTGTTCAACAATTTATTTGAAAGATTACTTCCTTGTCACGTTCCACTAAACAAACTAACCTAAGCGAAAATCGATCACGAAACAGTATACAGTCTGCGTCAAAATCCTAAACTCACAGGAATACGAAATAAGGATACAAAACCCTAGGTTGACAACAAGTAAGAAACAAGAAACCACTGAATTGAGCATCCAATTTATCAAATTCGGGTTAAATTTCGCATCCCTTTCCGAATAACTACCTAGAGTGACGAGAAAGAGAAGGAATCCTCAGAACATCAACTCACAGTGCGATCACTCTCGTTCGCCAAAGAGAAGGCGAAGCCTAGAAGCGAAGAGACCAGTGGGCTCGAGAGAGGCCTCGTGGAGGAGATCGCGCTTTATGTTGTTCATGCGGTTGGCAAGGGCTTCTTGCTCCTCCTTAAGAGCCGAGGTGTCCTCGCGAAGGTCGTGGAGGCGATACTTTTGGCCCAGCGATCTGACGCTCAGCAGCAAAATTCCAGTCATTGCGAAGAACTGAATGAAGCTGTCCTTCCGCTTCATAGCGGTTGCAATAAAACCCAACGACTTCGCTGGGTTTTGGGCGGCTGAGCTTGGCGGTGCCGATGATGCCATAACGACGTAAATTTAGACTGTTACTCAGAGAGCTGCGAGAGCGAGACGACACCCCAAAATAAAATATGAGGCTTAAATATGCAGCTTTTTTTTTCTTCAAGGAAAATATATGGGACAGGCAGCTATTGTTTTCAGATTATTTTTTTTCAATTTCTTCTTATCAGCAATTTTTACGGATTATTTCTTTTTAAGAACAGAAATGATATCCCTGGTTTCAAAACAAGTGTTTTTTTTTTGGGTTTGTCAAATTGAAATTTTTTTTTGCCAAGCTCTTCCTGTTTTTTTTCTCTTTTTTTTTTTTCGAAACCACGGATATAATTTACAAATAGCGTACATACAGTATAGAAAACTCAAATCTTTTCATTGCTGAAAATCTTCTGACAAAATTGGAAGCTACTACACGCTTGAAGTAGGGTATACAAGTACAACTTGGCCTACAAATACTCGAGGGCCAAAACCAAAATTACATGATTAGAGTTAGTAAAATTCAAAACACCTCAGGCCTCTTACGATCTGATACCGAAAAAAAAGTAATTTTACCCACTACATCAAAACCATTACAAGAGTTGCAAAGAATTTCCTGCAATACTACCAAATTACAGGTGATATGGAATCTCCACCGGTCTTTCTACTCTGCAACTTGTCCGGACACGAGGAAAGATGAAGTCCGTTCCTCTGGCAACTCTTTTGGGTGTCTTTATCATTCTCGTCTCGTCACAATAGCCACATGGAACATTGAAGTACTCATTTTGGTCTTTGAAATACTTCCCTTAGCCATACTGAGACTATCATACATTTATTCAATAGCCTTGCAGGTTATATCAGAAGTCCAAAGTTCCACACTGTTTGCTTTCGATGCTTTTGGTTCCATTATTTTTCTTTGTATCCTTCTTATCATCGTTATTAAGTCCACGAGTCCGTCCAATTCCCAGCTTTGGCAAACCCCTATTCAGCCCCTCAAGCAAAACACAGGCCTTACACCATTTCTGCACAATAAAACAACAAATGTTCAGATTGTCTAATAAAATTATGACCGCACACCAATAAATGTAATTCCAAAACTTTGGGACGATTGCGATATCTTGCTTAGCCAGCCAGCTTTACCCAGATAACGAAAGTAGATTGAGAATTTAATATTAACCAGATATTGCAATCAGATGCCATTTTTACCAAGGTGAATGTAGTAACAAACTTACCTGGCTTGAAATGTAACCACACCGTTCACATGTCCCCTGCTCTGGCATTTTTGTAGAAGTGGAAATTCTGAAGTTCTCTCCTGATTTGATGATGTCAAGTATGGCTCTAGGTCTTCAGTAGAAAGAAGTGCAGGAAATTGTCAAAAAAGTAGGGAATGTGCATACAGATGTCTGATATGATTAAATTTTGTGAAAACTACAATGCCAACAAGTGAAACATTGCCTAAACGGACTCACAAGAAGCTAACCCACCTGATTCTTTCCAAATCCTTGATGAACTCACGAGCAAAACCACGATAAGCATTGGGTGAATAAATGCCTGCAATTTTGACAACAATGGCTTATGAGATCTAACCAGGAAAGCACAAAAACATAGAATATAGTGGCAAGGGTGGTTGGGAGGAGTGAAAATAACAGAGCAAGACTTGAGCGAAATTATCTGAAGGAGCTTAGAGTAAAACTAAATTACATTCGGTGGAGAAGTAGTCCAGCCTCTTGAAATATGCATACGTGCAAATCTAGTTAAGGCTTCACAACTAAATCCAACTCATTATTAAGATGAATAACAGTGATCAAAGAAAGAAATCAGTATTGAGTATTTCAGCAGTAAGGATATATAACAATCTCTTTCTCAAAAGTGTATTTAAAAGGTTTGCATCTTGGAATTGGTCCATCTTCACCAGTGACAATTGAAGTGCATCTACTCAATCTACAAAATAAAACCAGCAATTCAGCTCACCACATAAACCAGCTGAGGAAAAAATAATAAAGAACAACCTCAATGAAGTACCTTGCAATGTCACCTCGTAATATGTTCAACAGAACTGTTTCAGCAATATCATCTGCATTATGTCCAGTAGCGATCTTGTCTACCTTCAACAATGCAGCACCACGATCGAGGGCCTTAGAGATAAAAAGTTAAATACATTAAGTTGAATAATTCCATATAATCTCTCACAACCAATAAACGTTGTCCATGCCTTGCATGCTTAATGACACAGAAAGCTAATCTATGCTAGAATTTATAAATTATAAGATGTTATGGGAAACAAGGTTGTGTGAACAGTTTTAGACGCTTTAGTTGCTTGTTCATAACTAAATAATAAGCAGCACAAGTTTCTGTGGAGTAACCACACAGCTTTGATGTTGTCAAAACATAGGAATGCTGAAGTCATGTCTAAATACATGCATACAAGATTTCTAAAAAAAATACACAAGCAGTCAATTTCCAATAAAAGCAAATACCTGACGACGAAAAACACCACAGAAGGTGCAATTATTCTTGAGACCAATCATCTTAACTATTTCATCCATGGTCCACCCATACAAATCCTTGTACGAGACTATTTTCAGAGGCAAACCGTACTGAAAGTAGAAATTTTGAACAAGAGTCGATTAACAGAAAAAGAAAAAAAAAATACATGAAACAAAACATAAGCATTACATATGACCAGCAACTCAGAATTGATATTCACTTCACCTGGATTTCATTTCTTTTGACGGTCTCAAGAGAATCATCCCTGTAGCCAGTAATGCCCTCATCCACTGACAACAGGAAGAGATCCAGGCCGTAATTGTGCCGCCTATTCAATTCCGATAACACATAAGCAAGGACAGTGGAATCTGACAGTATTAAATAACATAAAAAGCAATTATCAGAAGAAAAGCTGAGGTCCACTTAACTTTTACAATCTAATATGACATTAACTAGTATTACAAGCATAGCTTGGTTAGTTTACCTTTCCCACCAGAGGCGCCAAGGGCAATGCGCTCACCAGGCTTAAATAACTGGTTTTCGACAATTACCTGATGGATCTCCTCCTCAAATACCTCATAGAAACACTCCCTGCAAATCTTCATAAACAATCATCGATTTCAATTTTGTTTTCTAAAGAAATAAAAATACTCAGGCGGTTCTGTTCTAGGGTTTTATAATAAAAGCGTACCACAAAATACAGTTGACGAGTTTATGTATCTCGTCTCAGCTTCTTGGCAAACAAACAGAAGGTAGTTTAAATAGGTTTCCATGATCGGAGTAGGCAAAATTACCTGCTCTAGGGTTTTGGGCCTCTTCAGGGCAGCTTTTTTCTGATGACAGAGGCAGCACAGGCGAGCCCCAGCCTTCTTGGCCTTGACGTCGGCTGAGTCCTCCATTCAACGTCCCTGCACTTGGTGGAAACTCCGGAGCTGCGAACGAGAGATAGTCACAAACAAGAGTTCTCACTTTTTTTCGGAAATTCACAACTGTCCTCTCAGAAGTTGTTTACGACTCAATAGTCAATAGTGAATACTAGTGAATATGGAATTTCTGCAGAATATTTTCCTGCGCGCCTCCTTTCTTCACTTCCAAGTTGATTTTAAGTTTTTCGTTTCGAAAACATTCATTCGATTCTGTGTGTTTCAGAAAGGCCTTGGCCTACCAATAACCCAAAAAGAAAAGAAAAAAACGCTCATTCGATTCTGTATGATTCATATAGGCCTTGGCCTTCCAATAACCCAAAAGGAAAAGAAAAAGGCCCTACGCCTCCCAAATGGATCGGATTTTGATCCGATAATCCGTTTGAAATCCAAATTTTATGATTCATTTATACGCCGAATTTGATGTTGCTATAATCTGATGGATACTAACGTAGGAAAGTGGCTGAGCTTCATTAGCTTATATTCTTGAGTGTTTGTGTCCAAAAATACGATAACAAAAAACTGAATCATTAAACATTTATAAGAGGCATTACCAGAAAATAAAAAGATAATATAAAAGAGAACCTCTTACATATCTTTTTGTAGAACTGAGCGGTCGAACATTACTGAAAAATTATAAGTTAATCTGATGATGTGCTTGTTTACAATAAAAATCAATTAAAAATTTATAAAACTGGTTCACACAACAACAACGAACCAGATGGTAATATATCCAAAGCAAATCAAATCCCCAATCCTAATTTGTACATCAGATTCTCGACAACCTGTAAAACAAATTTCAAGCGACAGCTTGTAAAAGATGAGCAAACCCACACTCCCGCATGCTGACCAACAATGGGAATCCATATTCCATAGCAACACCCGCCCGCAAAGCAATAATATTAACACTTGTCCTGCCCCGAATTACCCTCAAGACGTCTACATATGTCCCTTCGTAACATCTCAACGTATTCCTGCACAAGTGGAAAAGAGAAAATTATCAAAATATGGTAAGGATAGCATCTTCTGAAGAAGAGACATATGTCAAAGCATAGAACACATACTCTAGATAGACCATCGTCCCTGCACAACTCATCCACAAGTTCTTGTGGACTGCTTCCTCTGCCAGACAGCTCAACTGAATTTTCAACTACAGCGTGAAAAACATCTCCTGGTGCATTCAGGTTCCCAATCCTCTGAACCACTTCTTGCAGGTTAATCTATAGAGCATTTAACGGAAAAAGAAAAAAAAAATTACAATTCATGGCTTAATTCAGAAAAAAGAAAAAAAAGAAAAAGAAAAATAAACCAACACCTTATGCATATCAATTGATTTAGGTCCGAATAATCTTGGTTTTGCATCAGATATAGGGTAAAAGTAATAGTTCCACAAACAGACTATACATACAGAAGTTATTCTCCAGATACAAACCATACCAAGCAACCACTCCAAAATCAACTTTAATTCCCATGATAGAAGCAGATAATGTTAAGAGTGAAACTTAACATGTGCATGTGAAGTAAAACACCGCATTTATGGCAAAAAATGAAGAAGACAAAGTATCTATTTTAAAAAAAAAGGAGAAATTTAATTCAAATGAGTATGAAACCTAGTATATGCTGATTCACTATAACTCCTAGTCTAGGCATTAAATTCCCTCTCAAGCTAAGTAAGTGGTCCATGCAGGATTTGACCAGCAGCACATAACAACTAATATCTGCAATCTAGAAACGAGCTTAAGATGAATATATTAGTTATGAAGTCCATACAAACCTCAGGATTTGGGACATTATCATCTCTGCTGAGACTTCTCTCATTGTATGGTGGATGAGATTCAGGTTCCAAAACAGGGTTTGGTTGGCCGAGAGTGGACCCAGCCCCAAGGGCTCGAGATACAATGGGCATCATTTGTTGGAACATCCTGGACATGTCAATCCCGCCACCTTCGCCTCCTCCAAGTCCTGCAAACATGTTTCCAATATCTTGGCTGTCAACCTGTTCAACAATCTGATTGACAGCATTCCTCATCTGTGGACTCTGTGTAAAGCTCTGCAACATATTCCTCAATGCATCAGGAGAACCCACTCCAGTTTGCTCTGAAACACCTGCCAATAAACCATTCAGGGCAGGACTACGCAGAACCTGAGACATCACGCTTCCCATATCAACTTGGTCAACAGGACCTTGCGCTCCCAATGTTCTACCATCTCTGACCTGCCCAAAAGCAGGGGCTGTTTGTCTTGCAGGCGCATCACTTGTGCTCATCCTACTTACAGCAGAACCACGAGATGCAAGAGACTGCAAAACTTGCTGACCACCTGTTACTTGCTGATTCTGATTGATGGGAGCACTAGCCATTCCGCCATCACCATTCTTGGCCAGTGGTTTTTGCTGCCTGCCTTGTCTCTGATTGGATCAATGATACAGTCTCAGTCTCAATAAGAATCTGAGTGTAAGCTGATTGCAGATTAATTTTTTTAATTATTTATTTTTGTTTTGTTAGGTGGGAGCCTAAAAACAGACAAACCAGTAGAATCTACACCCTAAATGCTTACCCAAGCACTACATCCCACATAATATGGCCTAATATTTCTACTTTAATGAACTGCTGAAATAACAGTCCCAGTAGCCAACTTACCAAGACCAGCAGTAAATGCATAACTGAATAATTGCAGACCATGAGACACAAATTTTATTCAAGCTCATTTCTTGCTTAAAGCTATAAAACGGATGCATAAATATCATACCTTACGGTCCAAAATTCCAAGTCCTAATCCAAGTGGAACAGCTTTTGTACCCTCAGTCATATCATGCTTCTCACTGGATTGTGGACCACTTTCTTTCTCATCTTTTCTCGCCAAGGTATTTTGTCCGCTTGAAGAGCTTAGAGGACCTCCAGCTGGGAATCTTGAATCATCTTTCAAGGTAGGAACACTTCCTGAATCCTGAGAATTACTAACTTTGTCAGATTAAGGTTGGGGATTGGATTACATGAACGAAAGAATCAACCAAACAACCATAAAAAGGGGGACTCCAAGAATGTGCGAAAAATAATACCTTCTGACCTCCACCTTCAGATGTGCAACCAGGTATCGGCACACTAGATTCCCCAGCTCCATCAACAAATGCAGTACTGGGCCGTTCACTTCCTGCATCATTACGCAATTCAAAGCCAACAGATGAACTCTGAACATTGGGTACCTCTTGACCTGATTACGGAAGAAAAAAAAAAAAGAGCTTAGGAGAACTAGAGTGACTATGTATCCACCAGAATCCAAAGCACATACGGCAAGGTACCTGATTGAACTGCGTCTTCTCCTTGCATATTGCCAACAAAATTTCTAATATGTGAATTGAGTTCAGAAACAATGGAGGAAAGTGAGGAGTCGGAAGGTGGCTGTGAAGCAGAAAGACCTGGTTGTGACACACCAGAGATTGCAATACCAGTTTGGGATGTTGGCATAGTGGCAGCAATTACATTTCTCACTGGCAGCACCCGTGCACCTGAATCTCTAGAACCAGACCCATTACGATGTTCTCTCGGCATACCCTCCCCATTACTTCCCCTAGCACCACCAACTGCAGAAACCATTGGCGCAAGTGAGGTACCTGATAATAAAAGCGTTACATTGCTACATAAAAGGTACATAGGCCAAGTCAGTGATGAATTTTGCTTACCAGCATGTATATGAATGTTTACATTCCTTGGAGCACTTCCAACACCAACAGGACCAAAAGTCATAGGATTTGATTGAGGTACAGAACCACCAAACATTGTGCTTGTTTGAAGAGGAAAAGGCTGCAAATAACACACAATTCACCAGGCTCAGTTGACATCTAAGCCAGCTCAATCATTTAAAACAAAATTACCCAAAGCTCAACAAAGGGCCATACCAACAAGCAGTAGAAAATGCCTTGATAAAATGACTAGAGTTATTGAACTAATGGCTATTACTTTTAACTTCTCCACTACATTATATCAGGGTTACTTCCCAATCCTTATCTTTTTCACTGGATTCATTCAGTTATGACATGTCTTGCTTAATCCATATGTGATATCATGTAAAGAAAATGAACTCATTATATACACATCAACGAACCTGGACCATTATGGGATTAGGCCCTGATGGGGAAATATAAACTGCCGGCCCAGAATTCACAACAGCTTCTCCCTGCAGATTTTTCGGCCACAATAATTGTAAATGACTATACTCGATTATTCACATATTTACACCAAACATATTGAGATACAATAAGAACATACAGGAGACTGTCCCATACGAAGTGTCCAAATTGTCCGGCCAAGCTCAAGGAAAAGAGCACCTAAATGTTGCATTGCAAGCCCTACTTGCATAAATTCTGTCTGAATTTGGCCCCTCACGGAGGGATCTGAAGATGCTCCTTCTTGCTCCAAGCGTCCTGCAATGTGCTACAAAGTTGCAGCAAATTACAAATTAAACACATAATCAGTTAACACATACACTACCAAAGGATGAAAAGGTCCATCAATCACATTTTAACATATATCTTTATCAGGATAGAGCTTTCAATTTAATAGGGGAGTACATAGGCATTTGGAATTACATAAATAAGTTCTAAAACTTTTGGATGAATAATGTTTGGCATGTAATATGACCAAAGCACTTTCTTTAGCTTTAATCTTTTTGTTACAAGGTGCTTACACCTAATTTTATCGAAATATGTCGTCATTCTATCCAATGCAATTGACATTGAATTGGATTGGATTCCAATCCTAGGTTGGATTGAATTTGATTCAAAAATCTACAAACCGATCAAGATTGGATAGTTCTTGTATTTAGGGATCCAATCCAAATCAGAAACAACCAAACTGGACGCTGTTTGGACCATTGAATTGGATCTTGAACACTGAAACCCATACCAGGGATGTGCTCTAGAGTGTAAATTAAAGGACGTATTCCCTGTAACTTCTAGGCATTTGGCACCACTGTTATTGAACTATCTTCAAGCCCTAAACCCTTCTTCTAACAAATGAGAAAGTTAATAAGTGTTCTAACAAATAATTCAACATGACCGTAAACAATGAAATCAACAGGGAAAAGCAAACTTAAAAGACTTCTAAGGAAAATTACAGATAGTGCAGAAACAGCATGACTGCTTAGAAGTCGCTCTGCATGACGAAGAACAATGCCCAATGCTTCAGGTGTGGGCATCCCCTGTGCATTGGAAGGTAAATTCACCCTCGGCATGTCTCCTGTGTTTGTTGCAGATAAATTTGGCTGGTAACCTACATAAATCAGGAAAGTTAGCATACGCAGTCATTTCTTACAGAATAATAACAGAATGCTTATGCTTTATCACCATTTTGTGTCAATGCCTGCTCCATTCTGTTCATAAACTCAGAGAGCGTATTCAAAGAGTCTGGAATTGGCTGAACAGGAAACAAAAGACAATAAGCAGTCATATACATGTCACCAACTGAAATATGACCAAGACATCATAATAATACCATATTCAACGAAGGAATTGGAAATGCTGCAGCTGCAGGACTTTGCACAGCTTGAGGAAAAGTTGGAAATGGTTGAGCAGGAAATGCCTGTCCAGACTGTGCTTGATTTCCTCCTCGGTTCAGACCAATGACATTATGCAACCCTTCTGCATCATTTCCGTGAGGTGACTGGCCAGAATTGTTTGACTGCAGGAAAACCAACATAACTACATTAATGCTATTGCTGTCCATATGAGAATTTATACTATCCTCCTAAGGAACCAAATTACCTTACCCCTTTAACACTTGCTACATTTTCTTCAGTTTTTCAAGATTACAACAGTTTCCAAAAAAAACTAATAAAAAATAATATAGCTTAAGTTGCAGATGCTAAAATGGTACTTTAATCAATTTATTTTATACAGACCACAAGTGAGAATTTACAAACAATTTTCATAGATACATTAGACATGTCTGGTTGTAATTTCAAGGAACATGCATTGCTCACCGAAGTAGTGGACTGTACGTTGCCTGTAACATTAGTTGTAGCCTGGGTGCCGACTCCAATAGAATTCAAAACTGCACCAATAACCTACTAAGAAAGAACATAGCATAATGAGCTTCTAGAAGTACCACTTTAAGAAACCCTTCCTGGCCAATTTATAAATATAAAGCCCATTACTTTCACAAAACAAGAAGCAAAATACGAACCCGACTAAGGTCAGGAACAATGCCTTCACCTTGGTCTCCAACATTAAATGTCCCAAGGACTACGCTGTGTGATATCTGTCCAATGCGACCACGAGGAACACCACTAGCCTCATTTCCTGCCAAATTACATCAAGAAGCTTATATAATCTCTTAGGAGGACTCTGAACCTGAAATTGCAGTACCAACATTTCCCAAAAACGAAATACTCAATTACCATTATTCACATGTGGGTCGCCAGAACTTGTCCCAGATGAAGGTTGTGACTGGGATGGTTGCCTTATAACTAAGTGCAATGTATGCCCATTTTCCAAATCTGGAAGAGGTTAAGGAATTATATGCTGAAACTGATAAGTAAATGGGTAAGATGTGCGGGACAAACCATATTACAGGACAACAAGGATCTATCATGAATACATTAGAGTTAGGACTTGTGCGGTCCCAAAAGGTTTAGTAATAGAGCTCAACTCAAGTGGTGGGATAAACAATGATTAATGTAATACCTAAAAGAGTTTGATAACAAAAAAGGAAAAAAAAAATGTCATACAAGAGGCTTCGTATGTCAACATATGTATTGTGATCACAATACATTAACCAACCTCAAAGCTGTAACTGATGTTAGGCACAGATCAAATTCAGTAACTCTAAATTTCAAGCATACTCCCTGAACACAGAAACACACTAAAATGATCAAAATATTTAGCAGACCTAGATATGGTTCTTAGCATGGTTGGCATATCCCAAAAAGGACACAATCATCCCCACAACGGTTAAACATATGCTCATGTATGCTCATATATATATGTATATATGCATGCATGTATTTACATATATCAAAGTTGTTGCAATGTCATAATCTCAGTGTTCTTTTCAACAAAAAAATCTCAGTGTTAATTCTATATACATCAAAAGTGAAATGGTAGGATACGATACTCAGAGAGAGGATGATCATCCTTTAGCACCTTTCCCCTGAAAATCAGCCGCTGCTGACCAACTGGAACACCTATTTGATTAGCTATTTTTTCCTTGAACAATGAAACTGGCATCTGAAATAAAAATTTATAATCACAAATATGTATAAGAAACAAGCCTGAAGAGATCATATTCTTGATGTACAAACATGTAGCTCCTAGAAACTGGTTAACAGTTTGAATATGGAAGAACAACAAAACTATAACCCATATAAGTAAGCACTATACAAGACATCACCAAATACATAAACAGTGATCAAAATATTAAAGTTAAAACAAGAAAAATAGAAATGCGAGAGGAAGACATGAGCTCACATTTTTCTCCACTTGAAAACTATATATCTGTGAGTCTAAAGTCTTAATATTGATCTCAACAGTTGAATCAGAACTTTCCCCAGCAACGTTGCCAGAACTAGAGCCTTCACTGGAGTGCTGATTGGCCATGCTAGCTGAAATGGTTTAGAAAGTAACCTCAGTTTCCAATTTTAGTAGCTACCTGTAGAAGCAATGGAACACCATTTTCTTTTTTAACTTCAAAGATAAAACTTCCTGATAGTACAACATGTGCAGAAACAACACGGAATTTGACAAGCATAGACCAAATTCAGACACGGTTATAGATGGGCATATAACATCCCAAATGGTAGGCCATACGTAGTGAAAAATTCATGACTGCAACCTGAAGGGAAACGCTACAGAGAGAGGGGAAAAAAGTAGAAATTGTCTGATCCAAAACGAAATAGAATCCTGATGCTATTGCTATCTTAAGCTGAATCAGAAGTTTCAAATAATATAGGGAAATGACAGATGACAGAGCAACGCCAAATATCTAGGGTTTTGCAGTCAAACCCTACAAGACTCATATTGATTTGGCATTGCATTGGAACCTTCAAATGCCGGATTCAAGATAATTGGGTTTAACGTTGGCATGCACCCCAATATCACGGGCTACATATATATATATATATATATATATATATCGCGGTGAGACATAGGAATTCCAAGATTTTGTTTTTAAAAAGTTGATCTTCGAAAAGCAAATCTACATACCAGAGAATCCTTTCAACCCCTACGGCGATCACAAACCCAACCTCGGAAAGTCCGATTCCGGTTTCGCTGTCTCTGTAAGCCCTTAATTATAAACCGTGGAGCACGATGACTACGATACGTAGGAGAGAAAAGAGCCTGCAAATTTTCAAAGCCCTAAATGTAAACTTCGGGAAATTTCGGGAACCTTCGGGTCCTGTAAAACGAAAGTCGCACTACCTAGCTACTACCTATTGGCGTCTAATTTGTTTTTGCTTTTCGTCTAGTTATTATTAGAATGGCTTAAAAAACAAATATTCTTTTTAAGTTAAATTTAGGAAATGGCATTCACTGGTAATTTAAATTTAGGAATTTCGATCAAAATTTAGTAATTCTTTTTTTGTCATAATTTAGGAATTTCTGAAATATTATTATAAAATAGTTGAAGGAATAAGCGCAGGTTGAGTTGAGGGTAGATAGATAAATTCACAACAGACAGCTCCAAATTAAAAAAAAATAATAATATCACAACACAACCAATGAGGTCCGGCATCAGTGATCAGTTAAATGTTAGAGTTTTGCCAAAAAAGGGCGTAACGTAAAGTATTGAGCTCCCTTTATTTTTGCACTCTAAAAAAAAACCCACAATCTTTGAGTGGGAAAGAATTTAGGACATGTATTATTTACACGATAAAACAGTAATTCTAGAAATAAATTAATGATTAAACAGATGGAGTACTTAAAAGAAAAAAGTATTATATTATTATTATATATCTGTTCTGTTTGATTTGATGCCACCCCTGACCACATAAGAGCATCTCCAACCGATGTGGCAAACGTGCCACATAGATGTTTAACAGCTAGAAATAACATCTCACATCACTCCAACCGATATGTTAAAGCTGATGTGGAATGAAGGCTAGAGGTTGAGATGTTATTTTTGACATCTCAAAAGCAAGATGTCAAATGAATATTTTATTATTTTTTAAAGACAGCTGACTATTAC